GTATATGTGTGTGTGTGTGTGTGTGTGTGTGTGTTTGGTAATAGATATGTGTGTGAGGCATTGCAAAACTCCAGGAAAACTCCATACCTCATTTTGATAGGATGATATCAGGACCAAGGCCTCAGTATTCATCCACATCTGCATTTTAGAGGCAGGATGCCCACTTCTATTTAAGGATCTAAGTTCTTTCTGGTCATTGTTGTAAGATGATACTGTTACCAATTTATGTAAGCCTTCTTACTGTCGCTCCCCGTCTTCGTGGAGGAACGACACAGGACCCTGCGCTGTTCTTTTCGTCTGCTCGGCCCTCCCCGGGTTTGCTGCTGGTTCTTCCCGGGTTGGCTACTATCCCTTCCACCTCCGTGGAAGGGCGGTTCCCCCTGGCCACATTCCCCACTTCCGCAGGGGAGCGGCACACCGCCGGCCGGCTCTTCTCGGGGGCTGCACAGGTGTTCCTTCAGCTAGATGTTCCCCTTAGATGTTCCCCATAGATGTTCCCGGTGCATGCCGTCTCTCTCCTCCTTTATAGTCCTCCTCCGCCAATCCCAACTCGGCTGCCCACACGCCGAGTACGCTGCTCTCCAATCAGGAGCAAGTCCTACAGTTTATTGGTTGAACTGGAGGCAGCTGTGCGGAAGCTGTTTACTTCTCTCCCAGCGCCATATTGTGGGAGAGCAGATGCATAGAATAAGTCTTAATTCCAGTAACTCAGTCTAGTCCGGATTGCTCCCCACACTTACCCTTAGACTCTCAAGAGTTTCAGGTCCTTTTTATTGAATATTTATTTATTTATTTATATAAAGGCAATGGATTTCATCTATTTCATATGTACAGTTTTATGAACATAATACTTCCTACCCTACCATTCTTCTCTCCCAAACTCCCATTCTTCCTCCCCCTTCCTTTCTTATTTTTCTTTTAATTTTTTTGCAATGACATACTTTCAATTTACATTGTAATAATAAGCAAATTATGAGATTAATGTTATCCCACAAGACAGGTAAGTAGGGTCCAGTGCTGTGGCGTAGTAGGTTAAGTCTCAGACTGCAGCACCCGCATCCCATATGGGCAATGATTTGGGCCCCTGCTGCTCCTCTTCCAATTCAGCTTCCTTCTGATGGCCTGGGAATGTATTGGAAGATGGCCCAAGTGTTTGGGCCCCTGCACCGATGTGGGAGACCCAGAAGAAGCCCCTGGTTCCTGGCTTCGGATCAGCCCAGCTCCAGCCATTGTGGCCATTTGGAGAATGAAGTAGCTGATGTAAGATCTCTTTCTCTCTCTGTTTCTTCCTCTCTGTTAATCTGCCTCTCAAATAAATAAATACATCTTTAAAAAATAGATAGGTAAGAAGTCTATATGTCAGAAATGTATACATTATGTTGAATGGGAAATCCAAGGGTGAGATACTGGCATTGTACCTGTGACAGTTTGCAGATTATAGAAATTTTTTTGTATATTGTCTTATTTAATGCTAAAGACAATTATGTGATGTAAAATCTTGATACTTGTATCAAGAGGTGGTTGTGAGTACATAATAGAGTACTGAGCAACCTGCATATCCCTGAGAACACTTTCAATGAATAGCAATGACTTTATTATTGTTTTGTAGTTGCTATTAAAGAGAGATTTAAAGGTAATAAAATGAACAGCCTGTAGAAGTTACATGACTTTTATATGGTTTCACAGAAAATAACTAGTTAAAGTTTACGTTTATTTAAAAATCTCTTGATGTTTACAAACAATAGCAGAAGCATATTCTTAGCCTAACTGGTGACAAACGTATTTAACAAAAATTAATCACAATATACAATTCCACTGTGTGTATATACCACATTTTCTTTATCCATTCATCTGATGATGGACATCTTGGTTCATTCCAGGACAATGTGGTTGATTTTGAAGTTTGGCTATTGTGAACAGTGCTGCTATAAACGTGGTGGTGCAGATATCTCTTTGCTACATTGTGTTCAAATCTTTTGGGTATATACCCAGTAGTGGGATTGCTAGATCATATGGCACATCTATTTCTAGCTTTTTAAGAAATCTTGGTATAATTTTCCATAATGGCTGCAATAATTTACGTTCCCACCTACACTGTATAAGTGTTCCCCTTTCTCCATATCCTTGCCAGCAATTTTTAATCTCTGTATTTTGGATTTTAGCCATTCTTAGAGGAGTGATATGCTAGCTAATTGTGGTTTTGATTTACATTTCCTTGTTGACTAGTAATGTTGAGGATTTTTTCATATATTTATTGATCATTTTTATTTCTTTTTGTTTTTTTTGTTGTTGATTTTTTAAGTAGCTGATATATTCAGGATATTAATCCTTTGTCAGAAAA